TGCCGAGTGCACAGCCTAGGGCAGCGCCCCAATCCCCGGATCGGCCCTGCCCTGTGCGAGACCTGGGGCAGCGCCCCAACCCCCTGATCGGCCCTGCCCTGTGCGGGACCAGAGGCGGCACCCCAACCCCTTAATCGGCCCTGCCCTGTGCATGACCCGGGGAGTCAGGGCAGGCATCTAGGGATAGGGCCTGCCATCTGCCACCCGGGGAGCAGGCCTAAGCCAGCAGGTGGTTATCTCCTGAGGGCTCCCAGACTGTGAGAGGGCACAAGTGGGGCTGAGAGACACCCCCCCCCCCCCCCGCCAGTGCACAAATTTTTGTGCACCGGGCCTCTAGTATAATAATAAAAGCATAATATGCTAATTAGACTGCACATCCTTCTGGACGTCTTTCTGGACAAAGCCAGGGCTGCGAGGGAAGCCTGGGTCCCAGGTGCCAAAGGGAAGCCAGTGCTGGCAGCCGGGGGAAGGAAGGCCTACTGTTTCACGAATTTCTTGCATTGGGCCTCTAGTAGTGTTATAAATGGTGTGTACCAGTCAGTATGTGAGATACTGCAAGAAGATGCTTTTTGGGAAGAGGCTTTTTTAAAATGTATAATCCACTAGAATATTACTTCTTGAGGACAGAGATTTTTATCTGCTTGTTCATTGTTATAACCCCCAGTGCCTAGGACAGTGTCTTTTATGTAATAGGGATTCAAATAAGTATTTTTTGAGTGAATGTATAAATGAATCATGGTTTTGTATAGAATTAGGTAAACTACCTGGTAGATTTGTTCTAGATCAGCCGTGGGCAAACTACGGCCCGCGGGCCGGATCCGGCCCGTTTGAAATGAATAAAACTAAAAAAAAAAAAGACGGTACCCTTTTATGTAATGATGTTTACTTTGAATTTATATTAGTTCACACAAACACTCCATCCATGTTTTTGTTCCGGCACTCCGGTCCAGTTTAAGAACCCATTGTGGCCCTCGAGTCAAAAAGTTTGCCCACCCCTGTTCTAGATACTTTTCATTATAAATATTGATAAGAACCATGCTGTACAATTTTTATAGTGCAGTTTGCTGGCACAGTGTATTTTTCAATCTTTTTTTTTCTAGAAAAGTTTATTTTTGAAAGATTATTTTCACTGTGTATAGAATTCTCAGTATGGTAGCTTAATATCATCATAGTGAATAAGCAGAGAGAATTTTGTTGAACACCTCATGTCAAATATTATAGTAAATGCTTTATATATATTAACTTCATTTAAGTAACTCGATTAAAGCCCCTGAACTTAGTGATGATGTATTGCAGCTTCCAGATTTAAGAAATTGCTTTGAAGAATTAATTAAATGTTTTTTGTTACAGACATTAATCAGATATAACTCAATGCGTTTATAAATAACAAAAGAAATGAATTATTTAAATACACACTACCTTTAAAAATGTGGTATCACTAATTAAATAAATGTGTGGAAGGAAGCCTGACACATTTTAATCCATTTAATATTCTGCAGATAAAGGGTAGTATGTGAATCTCAAATAGGGATGAATTAATAAATACTTGAAAACAATCCACTCTGAAAAGAAATCTCAACAACACTAGTATATATAGTCAGAAATTATCTCATGTAGTTAATGTTGAAATATTTTTACTAATAAATTTGAGATATTTTCACTAATAAATTCTTCTGCAAATAAATTAAGTAGCTTTCATATCAAAGGCTATACATACTTTCTTCCAGATGAGGAAAATAAGACAAGTAAAGATAAATTATTTTCTCATGGTTAAAAGCTAACTTTAAGACTGTTGATCTTATGGCCTGTTAGGCCAGTGTATTTTAATCATTTAGGGGTATCTTGGCAAGACTTAAATAACTTTACCTTTGAACTGTTTTCCCTACAAAAATAACACTGTCTCACTGTCTACATTCAGATTTGCTTTCTTAACTGGGACATAAAATGCATTTGAAGCTAATGTGCTTGGATTCTGTGTCATTGTCAAACTAATATATGTTATGTATCATATCCTCCACTCACTAATTTACTTATTTATTTAAAAATATTTATTAGTACCACTAAGTACCAAACACTGCTCTAAGTACTTGGCATACATCAGTGAACTAAATGGACAAAAGTCATGGAGTTTACATTTTTGTAGGCATGGTTCATACAATAAACATATACATAAGCAAGCATCCTATATAATAAAAGGGTAATATGCAAATTGACCCTAATGGTGCAACTACTGGTCACTATGATGTGCACTGACCACCAGGGGGCAGATGCTCAACGCAGGAGCTGCCCCCTGGTGGTTAATGCGCTCTGCTCAACCAAAAGCCAGGCTGAAGGCTGAGAGCGCAGCAGCGGTGGCAGGAGCCTCTCCCACCTCCTCAGCCCTGCTAAGGACATCCGACTGCAGCTTGGGCCCAATCCCCTGTGGAGCGGGCCTAAGCTGGCAGGTGGACATCCCCTGAGGGCTCCTTGGCTGCTGGAGGGCACAGGCTGGGCTGAGGGACCCCCTCCCCCCCAAAGTGCAAAATTTTTTGTCCACTGGGTCTCTAGTTTATTATGGATAGGGAAAAATTTTATAACTGCTCTTTTAAATCATGCTAAGGAAAATTACATAGACAACGACTTGGTCTTTAACTTGATTTATTTTTGTTAATCCCATTTTTACTATAACAATAAAGTTTGGGGAAACATTCTCTCCAAAAAACATAGTTAAAATGATGCTATTAATTAAGAAAGTGACCATTTTTGCTCCTACAATAATTTCTTGCTTTTTACAACTCATCTAATAGCAATAGTGCTGTGAAATAGAGTAATTTAATATTTTGGCTTTTTGATGATGGTTTATAAAAACCTAAAGTACTTTGTGTAACAAAATTTATTTTTCTGTAAACCTTTGTATTCAATTTATGTTATACTTTTGCTGGCTTTGAATATTTATGATCTTTTTTTTTGTAATTCTATAAAATGTTACAGCATATCTTTTTATTACTTAAATGATTCTTGTTTGGAAAGCTCTTTAATTTCCTTTATTACAGGTATCTTCCTAAGTAAACTTTTACTATGAAGAGAAAGATTTAAAAAGTTTTAATATCTTATTGGTATAGCTTGGAATTAAGTAGGGTATATTTTCAGCATATGGTATGATAGCATTTTATAGTGTTAGATATGTTGTCACAAACATTATTAATTCAAATTTTAATACTTCTTTTGTTAACTTAATTAAATTCATCCCTTATCATCAGAGTGGATTCATTTTTAAAAAAATATATTTTATTGATTTTTTACAGAGAGGAAGGGAGAGGGATAGAGAGTTAGAAACATCGATGAGAGAGAAACATCGATCAGCTGCCTCCTGCACACCCCCTACTGGGAATGTGCCTGCAACCAAGGTACATCCCTTGACCAGAATCAAACCTGGTACCTTTCAGTCCGCAGGCCGACGCTCTATCCACTGAGCCAAACCGTCCAGGGCTAGATTCATTTTTTAAATCTGTTTTTAACCAGGAAGTCCTGAATATCTGCATTTTTTTCTATAACATGAAAAGTAGACTGGATCTTTTACCTGGGATGTTGAATAGACTTTACTTATTCTTATGTTTTAGTGAATATATGGGGGTACCTGTGATTAGAGGAGCCGGGTTTTAGAAAGGATTTTGAGACAGAATAGCGAGTGGTCAATAAAGAGAGTGTTCTCAATAGACTTAAGAATAGTTATTAAAACAACACTCGAAACAGCAAGTTTTCTCTTGGATTATTGCTTTTTTACTTAGTTCTCAAACAATTCTCAGTGAATATAATTCTATTTTATTCTTTGTTATAGCTATTGTGATCTAGTAACAATGAGGAAAATAGTGTAGGAATAAGTGGGAAGGAAGTAGAATGTTTCTAGGACCTTATTTGAAGAGATTTTCTTCTCTTTAAATATTTAGTCATTTAAAATCAATTGAGATTTGAAGTTCAAAAGTAGAAAAATGGCAGCTTTGTGCTCTAATTTTCTAAGACTCTTCTCCAACTTTTCTATCTAGCTTTTCATAATTGTTTAATTAGTGGTCAAGTTTCCATCATTATCAATCCTGTATATAGAAAATATTTATTTTCTCTCTTTTGTTTTATAAGAACCTATATGCCTGGAGATAAGACTTTTCTTATGTAGCTCTGGAAATATTAGATAAATCTTTGCTTGCAAATTTTTCCTTTGGGGAGAAAATTGTTTTGTTTCCAAAGGGAATTCTAAGCCTAATCATGGAGAAATGACAAATGAAACCCATAACCATGCTTGAGAAAGCATGTGCATTTGTAGTTTAAGACGGATAGTTACTAAGATTTAACTGTTATTAGCCTTCTATTGCAATTGTTGGTATTTTTAAATAAATTTGAGGGAGAAGTAATCTAGCCTAATCCATATGAACCTTTGCTGTGATTTTTGGAGTGGTTGCCAGCTTTTTAATGGCCCTGATATCCTTTGCTTGGCTAATATGTTTGTCATTTTAGAATTTATCCTAAAAGTGACAATTTGCCTGTCACCTGCAAATTTAAGTGGTAAAATGGGTGCTGAGCAGGGAGATGAAGGGAGAATGGAGTTGAGATCTTGTAGGAATGAATTCACTCATAAAGAGAACGTGTTTCTTTTTGAGATAATGGAAAGATTAACTCAAATTATATGGTTGAATACATTTTGCTTAGTTTGATTGATTATTCAAATCTACAATCTTTTAATCTTCATATATGACCTGTTGCACAATGATATAAATAAGAAAGTAATGTGATAATGGAGCTTAGAGGACTTTCAGGTTTAGAGTTAATTTATCTGATAGAGCCCTGATGTACATGGTTGATTTAATATGCAGACCTAAAAGCTTTTGCTTTTTACTTCTTATTGGCACTTAAGTTATTTGCCAGCCTGTTGGCCAGACAACACCAATGTGTTTCCTTTAACTCCATGAATCTCAGCATATGCTATTTCTATATATCCTAAATAAATACATATCTTACTCTTTCCACAGCATAGAGTCCATGAAGCACAGGACAATAAGCTTCCTACTCATACCAGAAGACCTCTTTGAAAGATTCACCACAGCACTACCGGAGACACTAATTTGTCTGAATCATCATGTGTTGAAACAGCAGAAGGCTACTACCTTTGCACTAACAGGAAACAGTTAAGATGTTGGTGATTCTTTGAGTTCCAGAAAGCTAGGGGAGTGAGCTGAAAATCTGAAAATGCGGCCATGGACTGGTTCCTGGCGTTGGATTATGCTCATTCTTTTTGCCTGGGGGACCTTGCTGTTTTATATAGGTGGCCATTTGGTACGAGATAATGACCACCCTGATCACTCTAGCCGAGAACTGTCCAAGATTCTGGCAAAGCTTGAACGCTTAAAACAGCAAAATGAAGATTTGAGGCGAATGGCTGAATCTCTCCGGTAGGTTCTAAAAAACTAAAGGAAGAGTGATGAAATATTGTACTTTGCTTTTAAGTGCAGGGTTTCATTCAGCTATTAAAAAATACTTTATTTCTATAAGCTATTTTTGCAAAAATTTAAATATCTTAATAAGGTACTTTTTATATCAATATCTGTTTATTTAATATAGAGAATTTCTCAATAGTGGCTAATCTTATTTTACATATGAATTTTAATATAGAAAAGCTATGCCATTTAATTTATATACTTATATTTCATTTATAATTATCTTTGGAATTTTGATACATTAAATGTAAACTTTATATGATTTAAATTAGTGTATATTAAATTTTTTATCATATGGACTATAACATAAACATTATCATTGAGAGGCTGAGCTACTCTAAACTATAACATTAAAATGAAGAAACAAAAAAAGTTATCTTTAAATAAAATAACTGGATCTATAATCTAGAAAATTATCATCATTGCTACTTGTAGTCTATTAAAAATGCGACATGCATCTGTTAGAAGATAGTCCAGAGGACCTTGTGACCACTTTTGGTGATTAGTTGGGGCCATCAGCTGGTTCCCTCCCCTATGGCTTATCCAGCAGGACAGCCCAGGTTTCTTACCTTAAAAAGGCAAGAGCAGGAACTGAAAGTCCTCTTGAGGCCACACATCAGAAGTTGCGTACTGTCACTTCTGCCGCATTTTGTTAGTCTGTGTCAGTCAAAGGGCCACTCTACATTAAGGAAATGAAGGGAGGAATTGCAGAGAATTTGTAGCCATAATTAATTCACCATTCTCATCTCCAGAAATAATGTTGGATAGATTAGATTAGGTCAAATCATAGTGGTCCTGAATAACCAGAGTTTAGTTTAGACTTTGTTGATAGATAATAGGGAGCTATAGTGTCGCTGAGGAATGACACAGTGAAAATGTTTGTGGGAGATTTAGATTTTCAAATGGATTTGGGGCATGTACCTGACTGGAGTGAAATTAACTGGGAGACACAATATTATTCTAGGCATGAGGTGATGCTGATCTAGATTAAATTAATTATTGAATCTGTTGGCTTTTATACCAAGATATATGGGCTTTTTTACTCATGTTTCCTACTTTTATTTGGCTTTCCCCAGATACCTTTCTTACTTGTTAATTACCAGGACATTAAGTATACATGCAGTAAGCTTTCTTTTTAAAATTTAGAAATCATCACGTTCTTGTCTTGCTATTCTATAGAATACCTTTTCATGCTTCATGTTTGTTTTGTCTCCATGTTTAGTAATGTGAAATTGCTATTAGTTCACAGAATCTTTGCATTTGGGGATTTGAACCTACCACTTTGCCTCTCAGTTAGAATTGAAATTTAGCAGAAAACATCTGGAAAATAATTGAAACTTGTTCAGAAACCTCTTGAGTAGGGAACTTCAAACTGGACAGATGGCAGAACTGGACAGGATTTATAAAATATAAAGAGCACTTAATTGACAGGTTTCCTCTTAACTTAAATCCTCATTTTTCTAGATTAATTAATTTTGAGAATACCACTTTTTAAAAATTCAAATTCGACTTTATGGCCTATTAATAAGGATTTTATGTTTCTTTTGTTTTTTGTTTGGTCCAGGAAGGTAGAAGAAACTTTTTTTGGAATTTAGTTGTCAGCCCTAAACTGTAAATTTACAAACCACAAAGAATGCATAATTAACTTATGATTACCTGTTTTTCTGAGTTATGTAGTAATCTTTCCAAATATATTAGAGCTAAAGCATGAAGCTTCTGGTGGGAAAATTTGTCCCAGGGAATACAAATATATGGAACAGTGATATGGGCAGAAAGAAAACTGATGTGGTTTTTCACAGCTCATATGTTACTTGCTCTGTTTGAGAAGCTGGTATTAGAAAGTGGGGGGATGTCTTTGTTTCTGTTGATTGATTGGAGAATTTGCTCTAGGCTCTTTTCTCTGTAACTGTTCATCTCTCATATATAGACTGATGAGCAAGTGAATGGATTGGAATGCATAGAACACTTGCCGTCTATCTAAAACCTTTCATTATATATGGTTTTATTTTTGCAACCCTGCATCCATTATTCCTTATGCTATCAAGAATATCTTGCCCTGATGTGGCTCAGTTGTTGAGTGTCTACCTATGAACCAGGAGGTCATGCTTCCATTCCTGGTCAGGGCACCTGCCTGGGTTGCAGGCTCAATCCCCAGTATGGGGCGTGCAGGAGGCAGTCTATCAGTGATTCTCATCACTGATGTTTCTATCTCTCTTTCCCTTCCTCTTTGAAATGAATAAAAATATATTTTTTAAAACAGGATATCTTAATATTTGTTTTTTTTTAAGTGATAATATTGTAGTGAGATTTTTAGTCAAGATCCCTAGCTTTCCCAGCCTGATAATTAGATGCTTTCTTCCTGGAGTTTGCATTAACGTTTTAATATATTGCTGGATTAAATTTGCCAATGTTTTATTTTGGATTTTTTCTATGTTAACAAGACATGCTTAATATAATTTTTCCTTCTTATAATGTCTTTTGGGTTTTGCTGTCAAGGTTATACAGGTTACACAGTCCAATTCTATTTTCTAAAACAGTTTGAATAAAATTGGTATTTATTCTATTTTAAATCTTTGTTAGAATTTCATTAGTGAAACCATCTGGGCCTGTAGTTATTTTTTGTTTGTTTTTTGTTTTTTGGGGGGAGGGGTTAAGTTTGGGTTTGGAAGGGAAAGGGAACATGTGGGAAGGTTTTAAATTCTGGAGTTGATCTTTTTAGTTGTAATTATACTATGTGGATTTTCTATGTTTTTCTTCCATTAGTTTTTGTAAGATGTATTTTTTCAAGGAATATGCCCATTTTATCAACATTTTCAAATTAATTAGCATAAAGTTGTTCAATAATGCCTTTTAAATTTTCTTCTCCTTATAATATCTGTAGTAATTCCCCTTTTTCATTCATTTGTGTTTTCTCTTTTTATCTTGCTAAGAGTTTATCTATTTACATACCTTTTCAAAGAACCAATCTCTAGTTGTTTTTCTACTCTTAGTTTGATAATTTTCTTTCTTATAGTCTTTTTGGGTTTTATTGCTGTTCTTTTTTAAAGTTTATTCAGAAAGAATTTATATCATTGATTTAAAACCTTGCTTCTTTTTAAATACATGTCTGGAAAGTTTTAAATTTCTCTCTAATCAGAGCTTTAAGTTGCATCCCACAAGTTTGACAATATTCTATTTTAAATGTCATTCAATTAAAAGAATTTTAAAATTTCTATTATGATTTTTTTCTTTGACCCACAGGCTATTTTGGAGGGTGTTGCTTAATTTCTAAGTGGGTTTATTCAGTTTATCTTTCTAATTTTTATTTCTATTTTGTTCTTCAGCCATCTAAACTTATATTCTGTATCATTTTAGTTCTTTGAAATTTATTAAATGGCTCAGCAAAAGACATGTTGGTGAATGTTTTAGGAAAAACGTATATTCTGCTGTTGTTTGGTCTGCTCTTCTGCAGACCCAACAATTAAGTTGGTTTGGTTAATTGTTGTTAATATTTTCTAAATTAATATAGATTTATATATTTCTATAATCTGCTTCTATCAGCTAATGAGAAAAGTCTCTGACAGTGGTTGTATATGCACTTCTGTAATTATTTGGTGAATGTAAATTTCAGATTATTTTATTTTCTGTGAATTGACCCTTTAATTATTATTAAGTTTTTTTTATTAACTGTCGTAATACTTTTTTTGGCTATAAAGTTTAATATATTTGGTATAAATATTCCCATACCAGCTTTCTTTTGGTTATGGTTTGCATGGCATATTTCCCTCATCTTTTAAATTTTAACCTTCTTGTGTCCTTATATTTAAATGTAAATTTAAATATTTAAAATGTTTCTTCTAAGAATAGGACTGGATCTTATTTTTTTTGTCCAGTGATAACCGTTCCTTGTTCGCTTTAATATAATTGCTAGGTTTAAGTCTACCACATTGCTTTTTTCCCCCTATTGACTCATCTTTCAGTTTCTTTTTAGTTTGTCTTTGTTACTTTCTTTTGCATTGATGGAATTTTTTATCGTTATTCTATTTTTTCACTTATAATAGACGTTTAGTTATACATTTTAATTTATTTTCTAAATTTGTTCTTTTAATCTCATATCACAAGGCTACGAAAATTTCAGTCTGTTTTAACAGTTGCTCTCTAGCCTCCTTTGAAGCCCCAGAATTCTTTAAGTGGTCCATGGAGAAAAATGGGTATGTGTTTAGTGAGTCTGCAGTTTCCAAATTTTCACACCTTCTGTGGGACCCAAGCCTGTGCTTCACATTATGCCTGGAATCAGCAAGTGCTCCCCAAGCAAGAACATGGCTTATTACAGACTACTGTCCTATGGAATTTTAGTTAATATAATCATGCACTTAGATACCTCACATGGCTTTTTAAAAAAGTTACATTTAAAATTTCTTTGTATTGTTGTTTTTACACAAGAATAGGGTTTGCCATTACATACTACATTCTACTTGGAACTAAAAGTACTCTACCTGGATTGAAAATGGTTGAAGTTCACGTATACTGATGTTGCTGCCATAGAGGGATTTCCATTAGCTCCTGAACCTAGATTCCTGGAGATGTTCTGATTCTTGCCCTTTCTAAGACCTGGTTCTTCCGGTTTTAACTTTTTCTCCCATTGTACCTCCCAACCTCCCTCCCCCCAAACTCAATACTTACAATTTATAAAGTATTTAATGTAAATTCACTTTGCCTATATGGCATTAATATCTGGAAGAAAAAGTTCTTCCACATATAAAAATTTAAGTTTTTACCAGTTGAGTGGTAAAGAAAAGGAGAAATGTAGTTGAATTGGAAGATTTTAACTATCACCGTAATCTCTGCTTCATTGACTGATTTAGTGAATCTATTAAGAGATCAAGATCAGATTTAGATAGATTGAATTTGATGTGTTTGTTGAACCTATTCAGTAGAAAGTTGAAAAGTGAGTCTAGAAGTCAGGATGAGAAGGA